ACCTTTTTATCTCACATATATTACATTACAAAAAGTGCTACAGTAATTATTTCAAATAAATTAATAGTTCAAATAATACTCTATCCAAACAAACCCATGAATATTGTATTTTATTGTTAGTTTTATCTCAAATTAGTCTTCTAATTTTTATTGGCTGTCATTTAACTTCCAACTTTTTGAACCTCTTATCTCTAGTTGAATTTAATCATTTAACTTAGTCTCAGAGAATGTTGAGGGATTTTATTTTGTCGTTTCCATTGTCCGATGTAGAACAAGATAGGTGAGATCTTGGTACTAGTGCTAGCAGATTAATGAGAGGATCTTGGGACTGTTTCGGGGCTTTGAACAATACTGGTGAACAGTAACAAAGGGGTAAAACAAAGGAAAAGAAGAAGGAAATTTAGGGGGAAGAAAGAAACTCAATTCTTATACATCAATTTCACTCTGCCTAGAATAACATAAGAACATAAGTATTTATATATTTTAAACTTTCCTAAAACTCCTATTTCCTTTTCTAAATAGGTAAGTAAACTAGTTGCAGAAGTTTTTATAACAAGGACTCCAACTAGTTACCTAATATAATAAATAACAAAAAAAAAGACTAAATGGACACTGGCTGGAAATTTCCTGCAAACAAGTAAAAAGGCCAAAATGGCAAAATGCCCTTAGAACCCAAAATTCTTAAAACTGCTAAATACCAAAGAGTAAAACTACATTGACTTCATTGACATATTCTTGCTGCCAACTAGGTTGCTAATCTTCGAACAATGCCTACTTAAAGATTCAGGAAAATCACGAAAATCTTTACTATTAGATTTCCTTGAACTCTTGGTTGACTGCATCATAGTTGTTATTCCTAGGAAGACCTATAGGTTGCTGGTAAGCCCTTACATTGGCTACAGTTTTTTTTCTCTTAAATCAATATTAACTTGTGCAAAAAACTGTATTTTTGTTTTTTACTAATGCCTCTCTTGCTGCTTTCAGCTCTTGGTAAGCTTTTGGCAAGACGAGTTTGAACATGTAAAAATGGCTGCTCGCTCTCTTTTCCATTGTGCTGCATCACGGGCTATTCCGCGCCCATTGTGCTGTAATAGTGCAAATGCTCCTGCAAATCTCTTGATCGTTCGACCGGAATAACAAAGTTAGAACGTGAAAATTCAAACTCCCTGACTCCTAACTGTCTGCCAAAAACACTGATGGATTCTCGGAGCGAAGAATCTGAGATTCTTTCATGGTTGGAATCATTTGACACACAAGACTGGATCTCTGTGTTGGAGGAACAACTCAAGATGCCATGACCTCTCATATAATTGTCGCTGCAGCATTGGCAGTTTGGTATCCCAGTCTTGTGAAACCAAATCTTGCCTTGTTGACCGTTCAATCTTTGATGAAATTGGTTATGGCTATGAATGAAAAATACAGTTCTACTGCTGCAGAGATTTTGGCAGAAGGTATGGAAAGCACTTGGAAAGCATGTATTGGTTCTGAAATACCTCGGCTGATAGCAGACATATTCTTCCAGATTGAGTGCGTTAGTGGTGCATCTGCTAATGCACCTGCTCAGAAGTCAGCTTTATCACATAACATTAAGGAGATTTTGGTGGCTGTACTTCTTCCAAGCTTAGCAATGGCTGACGTACTTGGATTTCTGAATGTAATCCAAAGCCAAGTGTGGTCTACTGCATCTGATTCGCCTGTTCATGTGGTGTCACTGATGACCCTCATTAGGGTTGTGCGTGGTTGTCCAAGAAACTTGGCGCAATACCTTGATAAGGTTTGTAGAAAGTGTTATCAGAGAATTACATGATTAGCTCACATTTGAATGATACCATTGGAACTATAGGTCACATGGTTCATCTAAGCCACCATACCTGTTTGTGTATTGAGTTTGATGTAACTGCGTTTTTGTTTTTCTTCTTCTTCTTCTTCCGTGTTCTTGTTGCATCATATTATCCTTCTTTAGTTCTTGATGTTTGTGTAATTTTACCTCACAGGATGGACACAGGGGTGTTAAGATAACATTTTGGCATCTTTAGATGTAGCTCGCCAAAAGAGAGCAGAAAGATTTCTATGTCCAAGTATAACCTACTTTTTAAAATGGTGACATCTAATTTCATTGTCTGTGATTGATTCAAATTGGAGTGATAGGTTGCGACACTGCCAAACTTTAGACTTTGTGATTATCCAAGCATGAGCTTAAGTCTCTCTTTGTGCACCACCGTTGACAGTAATAATTGATTTTACCTACTCTTTCAGCATCCTGTGCTTCCCCTCAGTTGCAACTTAAAGGGAAAAAGAAAAGTACTGGATAGACCAGTATAAAAAATGTTACTTGCTTTTTGGGTTATATGCTTCAATATCTTTTATCAGTTGCTCTTTCATACAACTTGATTTAGCTGATTCACTTTATATTACTTTTCCTTTTATATTCATATAAGTTGTGCAGTTAGCTTTAGTGATATGAAATATGTATATGTGAAATTTCTGTGCATTCTTGCTTGTCAGTCTCCTATCTATTTCCAAGTCATTGAAGCTTATGTTACTGTGAAATTGGGGTGAATAGTCACATGAGTCTGCCCAGTTTCCTTCGGTTTGCTAATGTGCTGAGAGTCTCCAATATTTCCTTTTAAAATTTCTAACATCTAGACAGGTTTGCAGGTGGTCACTTTCATTTTGCAGACCATGGACCCAAGTAACTCAGTTCTGCGTAGAAGTTGCACTCAAAGTTCAATGGCAGCATTAAAGGAATTAGTACGTGTGTTTCCTATGGTGGCTCTAAATGATACAGCAACTAGGTTGGCCATTGGGGATGCAATTGCTGAGATTAAAAATGCCAGTATTAGGGTATATGACATGCAAAGGTATTACTTATACAATTGCACGTTACTAATTGCAGTTTTTCTCAAAATTGTACTTATAGCATTTGTTTTCTGTGTTCATTGTAGCATGGCCAAAATAAAGGTGTTGGATGCAAGTGGACCCCTAGGACTTCCAACTTTGCTCAGAGGAGCTTCAGATACAGCAGTTACAACTGCAATTTCAGCTCTAAGCTTTGCACTGGATGGAGAGGTACCTTTTGTAGCCCCTTCAGCTCATATTGCTATATCATCTGCTTGCCAATTGTATGATAGCAAAGCTTGTGGAATGGTGAGATGAGGTTATACATTGAGATTTGGGCTGTATCGGGTGATGATTGTCATTCTTTTTTCTTTTGTTTTTATTGAATATCTTCACTTGCAGGGCCTAGTGGCATTTTCCGAGAATGGGCTGATGATTAGATGGTGGTCACTCGGGTCTGTTTGGTGGGAGAAAATCAGTCGAAATCTTACTCCTGTTCAGTGCACAAAAGTTATATTTGTTCCTCCATGGGAGGGATTTTCTCCTAATTCTTCCAGGTCCAGTATAATGGCAAGTGTAACATCAAATGATGGTCAGGTCAATTTACAGGTAACATCTTTAGTACTAGAATGGCTCCATGTTTCTTTCCTTAGTCTCTCTGTTGCACTAACCATACATAATTTGGTAGTATTCATGAGCTCTACAATTGGAGCAAATACAAATATGGTATGATTAAAATCTTCACTCTTCATAAAATTCGTTGCTCCATAAGTTGGTTCAATAGTTAAACATACTTAAAATCTTGTTGCACTTAGCACTTTGCCCTTGTCCAACTCAAGTATATGAGATATCAAATTGCTTTTGATAATTTTGTTACAGGAGAGCAAGAAAGCATCAACTGAAATCGATTCAGTGAAACTTTTGGTTCATCATCTTGACCTCTCTTATCTCTAGAGTGGGTTGGTGAAAGGAAAGTAAAGCTCATGCAGCATGGGCGTGAGTTGGGCATTTTCCAGTTATAAGCACGTTATTTCTGGGTTTGCGCTGACATCTTGAAGGCACATTCTTAACTTCAGTGCTAAGAAATGGTATATCATCTTATGAGTTCCACCTTTTGGTTGCAACCGAGGTTTAGACTTGTGCAATATGCTGCTATATCAAGTAAGAGAAATCCACAAATAAATCTTTCATAGTTTCAAGCTTCTGCTTTTGATACCATCATTTTCTCAACAGAACAGAGAGATAGATGCTTGAACCCGCTAAAAGGAGAGCAATGCTGCTGAAGTAGCTGAGGACCTCCAGATCCAGTAGTTCTACTATTTTTTATTTTTTAATTCTTTTCTTTTTGGTTTTTTTTTTGGGGTTTTGGTTTGGGGGGGGGTGGTGATCCTTTAGTCTTTATGATCCAATTTTCTACCCATAGCCCAGTGACCACCCCAAATACATTTCTTGCTTATACTCGTTGTGTGCTTTTATCTCTTTCGGTCATTTTTGCTTTACCTAGTCTTTAAATGTCGTGTTAAATAGTACTTTTTATCTGTCGTCATTTTGGCAATCTTTTGTATGGAATTGTAGGCTGTACAGACGACTCATATTTGTAAACCCCTGTTTCTTTCTTTCCGAATTCTTTGTTTCATTGACACGAGAGATTACAGTTCTTGTAGAACTTTGATGGAAAAATTCTCTCTTTGAAGTTGTAGAAACTTTGTAAAATAGTTGATCCCATATTGTATTGTAGAAACATCCTGAGATGCGACAAACCTGCTAACCTTGTGATTTAATACTACTATTACAACCATTATCTTCTTTCTTATTGTTCTTTTTTTCTCTCTCTTTTGCACATGTGATTGATACTTTAAGGTCGATAGGGTACATTGATGACAACTAAAACATCTCGGTGCAATGCTTTCATCTTTCTTTTCTTTTATGCAAGTACGTCAAAGGTGCATCTCAGGTAATAGTTTCATTGCTTGGAGAATGCGGTTCAGAACCCAAGCAACTCCAAAGTCCTGACTAAAATATGAACTAGTGTAGTACTTGAGAATGGTGCATCTCAGGTTTGCAGAAGTACTAAACACTGAACAGACTAAACGGCAAAAGTTTGACGAGCTGATTTGGGCTGTGGACTGAACTTCTTGTTAGACGAAGCAAGAGCAGTTGCCTGATGATAATTATAAAAGCCAAAACAACAATAAAAAATACTAGAAGGGATAAACTCATGAAGCTTAAGGTCAATCAAGACAAACTTGAAGTTGCGTGATCTTGATCTTTACGAGTGCTTAATATACAAACACTAGCTTGCTGTACATGCAGTGTTCTGATACAGCTTAACTTTGTCATATATGAACATTTAGCTGTCAGCCCCATTAGACACTAGCCCGAGGTCAGGCTTCAGAATCTGGAAAGAAACTGAAGTTGCTTCAGAAGTGGACTCAAAGTCTCCATTAATTTCTCACAAGGATGGTTGTGAATGCCCTCATATGTTGTCACCACAATGCTCGTGTCCTTTGAAAGTCGCTGGATTTGTTTCTTCACATTGCATGTGTGATGTGTGCAGCGGTAGTAGCTCCTTCAGTTCATTATTTCACAATTGAAGCACAGAAAAACAAAGCTAATTATGATCTTAATATCTTTCTTTGGGTTCTGAGAAACTTTAGAATGGAACGAAATAATGATAGATTTTCGGCATTCATGAAACCAAAATGATCAGCTAAGAAAATAATACTCGAGATAATGAAGTAGGAAGATATCTCACCTCGGGTGGGCACAATTCTTCACGGCTTTCTGCCCATATTTTCTCCACTTGTATCCATCGTCAAGAATATCCTCAGTACTCCTAGTATGAAAGGCAATTCTTGGTGGAACAGATTTTTTGGTTTTACCAGGTTTCACTTTGTTTTTATCAAGGTTATCTCCTTCCCTGGCGTTCCTAGATGTCATAGATAAACAGGGAGAGGTTGGTTTTTGTTCGCAGTCAACGGCAGTACTGGAGAGGATAGTAGCCCAGTCCATATCTGAAGCAATTTGAGGGCTTTGCATGGATTGGTTCATCAGCAAAGGAGGATACAATGGAGCAGTTGAGGAGAGGGTGGGGGTAAAAAGATATGGACATTGTTTCCTGCTGCGATCGGCGATCCTTCTTCCATAAACATGATGTCTATGCCCACTATAGGATCAAGAGGAGGACCTGAAGAATGTTCTTTGGAATTTATGTTCCAAGATCGAAGATTGTGTTAGGTAGGCAGGCGTTGGACGGTATTATGAACACAATGAGAGGGAGTTTCCTTTTTGAAGAGCATGGCTTGTCCCTTGGAGAAAACCCAACTACATTACCTACCATCATCTGTTCAACTGCCCTATTGGAAGAGGTGGTGTAGACTTGATCAAAATATATTCTTCTTAGCAGTAATGTGAAAGAATGTAGAGTTTATGCTTTGGCACTTGGACGGTGAGTAGATTGAGGATATAGGATAAATTGAGTGGACGTCTAGAATGAATCAATCAATCAAGCGAGCAAGATGATTGGCTCAAATCAGGTAAAAAGTACAGTGTTTTTGTTAAACAACTACTCTAGTTTCGTGGGTTAAAACCTTAAACAACTACTCTAGTTTCGTGGGGTTAAAACCAATCTTCCAGCCGTTGAAGGTTGTTTGGAAAAATGATTGCGTCTTTTTTATGAACACAGTCCCGTGAATCATAACTCCGAAAAAAGAAAAATAGTTATACAAATTGAAAATTAGACAGAAAATCGCAATAGACGCCTTCATGCATGTATGCAATTCAAGGCTTTTTTTTAAAAAAAAAAAAAAAATTAGTGGTATGAAAATTGTTGTTTCAAATTAAGGGTTAATTACTATCTGACCCATTGAATTTTGGATGCAGTAATTATTTGCCCTCTTACTTTCGATTCATTCATTTTACACACTATCGATAATAATATATTATACATTTTAAGTGGTCATTATGCTCATCAAATTTTGGGTGACCAAAATGCACCCCGTAACAAAATTAACCAACAAAAGAGTAAGATTCCAGAATCATATTGACACACTGCATAAGAAAAATACAACATAAAATGTACACATTCAAATCATCAAAATTCAACGGTCTCTAACTGGTGTACTTGCATTTATTATTGTTCTCACAATAAGGGTCGATCGCACTACTTAAATACTTTATGAGTAACTCACCCTTTAGCATTAGAAAATCGAACTGCTTACTTTCCAAATCTTGCCACCAACGAATTTAATTTGAAAATTATGGAGAAAAGGTTGTATATTTGGAAAGCAACTGCTGCTTCTAGATGGTTGACACTGAAACAGTCTCAAGTTGATAGGTTGCTTTGCACTTTTTGCTTGATAGAACAAAAGTTTTATATAAAACAATGAACTTAAAAGGAAATATATAGTTTTTCGGGGAAAAAATATACGCAAGGACGCAGTCAGAAAAAAAAAATTTTTAACAACATCCACCCAAAACTCCAAATGTGACAGCCCCACCTTCCCCTAAGCGAACTAAAGGGGTTAGCGGACTGCCTGCCCAACTCTCGCCAGGACTACGGAACAGATTAGAGCTATCTATAGCGATCCGGAACTTACAAACGAGCGTAAACAAGTCAAAATGGTAAAATAACCCTAAATAAAAAAATGAAATCCGGAGTCGGCCATGAATAGTAACCGACCCGTCAGAACCCAGCCGAAAAGCTAACAAACATACACAACTGAACTTTAGCGTTTACAAATCAAAATGACATACAAAAGCTTTCAAAAGTTAATACATAAACACGGTTTGCCAAATCAGAAGAGAAAACGCCCCAAAAATACACTTAGGGTTTTGATACATGAGCTATACAAAAGATATGTTCAATTAGCTCAATTTGGCAGCCATTTGTCAAGTCCAGACCAAAAGTGTTTATTTTCCTGTAAGGAAAACAAAAGGGAACAGAAAGGGGTGAGCTTGCGCTCAATGAGGTACCAAACATATAGCAGAAAAATCATGGCATTTCACATTTAACAAATTAGATACACATGCCAGATGTAAAGCAAAGGAACCAATGATTCAAATCAGAAGGATACGGGTGGCTCTCAGGAGCCAAATTTCCAGCGCAGTACTTGATCCAAACCGGTTGACTCTCCGTCAACGCATATAGAACCAACGCGTCCGTAGACCCCTCTTTACACCGAATTCCGTTCCACCAAACACCCCTTTACCGGACCCGCTCACCGTAACCGAACAGAAATGGTAATACTCGAGTATACCGCGAATCAAGGCGTCTCAATACCCAAAAATCCCGAACAGACTACCGTGGTTCGTTATCTAATCGTCCAGGCCCTTGCCGGCCCGACTCGAATAACTTAGCCACAGGATTGAGCTCATAGGTCATAGAAATCCGAACAGATGCAGACACAGATAACAGATCCAGATACAGATACAAGATAGCAGATTCAGATAGCAGATTCAGACGGCAGATTTAGATAGGCACTCAAAATTGGCATATGAACAGATAGAAGAACGAGTGTGATAAAGTACACCCTCGCCTCTATTTTATCAAAACAGTATTTGGCTTCAATAGTCATAAATCAAGTATTCAGATATTCAGATATTTCACATAATGGGTAGCAGGTAGTGGAACACTCACCGATTCAACTTCAAAAGTTTCACTTCAGATTGGCCTTAATCGCCAAGAAACCCTAAAATAATCAAAATAAACCAATTGAAGGTTTTACTTCCAGAATCGAGTAAACAGAATGCACATGTGAGGCTCGACTACACGTCGTACGCCTTGCCAAATAAATACTAATGCAAGAATGCAAAAACATGATTCCCTTGGAAACGAAAAGGTAGCATGAAGACCTAGGCGCAAACAACCCAAAAGCCTTTCATTCTACCAAAAGGCAAACCCAACTTAAAGGAACCAAACGGCCTAGAAAATCGGGGCAGCACTTCCCCTAAAATTTCTTACTTTCCAGCATTAAGGCTTCATTCTATCCTCAAATCAGTCCCAACATCTCACACAAAATTCATCTCATTTCCCAAAAGCCGTTCGCTAGGCTCAACGTGTTACAAGTACAAAAGTTGACTAGGAAACAACCGAAATGAAAGCAAGCCCTAAAAGAGACTCGATAACGAGTCATAAACCAATGCCAACCACAACCCCAATAAGGTTTCATATGCATAAATTGAGCATAATAGCAACCAGAAATTAGAAAATGCCTTAGTCTTGGCCCCAAATAGAAAACGTGTTTTGCCCTATTATGCACGGTAATGGTGTAAAATTCTCTACGGTTATCGGATGGGGGTGCAAGACCCACCGTTTCGAAGCTATGAAACAGGGCTACAACAATGTAGAAGGTCACTCAATCCAGTTCCTGGCCCAACTAGGTCAAAAATACGAAATACTATACCAGAATTCCCAAAACAGGTTTGCAAAACGCAGAAAACTGTAATCGGTATATCTCAGTCCATACTAGTCCAAATGCCGAAATTCCAAAGGCATATGTTAGCTAAGACATTCAGGTACATTTCATCAGAAGACACCAACTTCAAAATCCAAACCAAAACCAGTCAAAATGGCCAATTACTATCGCAGTTTTCGCATTCTGTCCAAAGCAGAACAGCTACAGTAATTTCGTCATAACTCATTCTACATTAATCCAAATGCCCTGAAATTTTACAGGCACCTTAACCACATCAATACCTACAACTTTCATGTTTTGAGCAAAGTCTAATTCGGCCTCTAACCCAGTGATCTAAAACCGGACAGAATTGGGAATAATAAGAACCCTAACTTTCCATTTTCCATCCAAATCCAAAATTGATTGCAAATACTTATCAAACATACCTACTAGAGCCATTATAGTCCATTGCCAATCATCAAAGATGGCCACAACATTCATTTCATATTACACCAGAAAATTCATCACAAAATGGAAAACTTCACCAAAACTCTTCAAATCAAGAAATAAATCATATATTCCAACACTTATGCCACCCTTAAGCACAAAATAACCATCATTAAGTATAAGGAAGTAGTAAAACATCACTTACCTAAGAACAAGAGGTGTAGAGAGGTTGGCCACCTTAGAGCTTCAAACAAACTTCACTACAACCCTTACTAGCACTAGAAGATAGGATTTTATGGAGTGAAATCTAGTCTAAGCTTTTGTTTATGGAAGATTGAACCAAATGGAAGCTTGCAAAATGATGAAGTTCTCTTCCTTCTTGAGGTAAGAGGGCCGGCCATCCAAGGTGAGAAAATGGGGATTTTTTGTGAAATTTTTAGATATTTAACCAATTTTGGTCAAAAGTCAAAAAAAGTGAATAGTGTTCCATAAGCTTCAACCCATAAGATGGTGACACTTGTCACACCATTAATGCAATCCTATCCTTTCTTTTCTCTCTCACATCAATCATTTCACACACTCTACTTATCTCTTAACACCCGATAAATTTTACACAGTATCCGGAATTTAACCTAATTGGCCGAATTTTTCCGAACTTTTCGCACTAGTGGGTCCCACGCCTGATATACGTTCTTAATTTCTCAAAATCTATTCGTTACAAGAAAAATCATCTAAAAACTATATTTACTCGTAAAATCCACTAAGAAAATATTTCTAAGCCAGAAAATGCAGAAATCATGCCATTAAAGGAAATAAACCCTAAGAAAATTATTAGGGATTTACGGGTTCTCACACCAAAAAGGTTCAAGATTTGATGAACAAATACGTCTCTTTGCATATTTTCACAGGAAAATTTAAGGAATAGAAGAATTTATTAAATTGTGCAAGTATGATCATGCTTATATTTGTTGTGAGCGATCAAGTCCTTTCATATGCATGTACGAATGAAGATTCACCGTTGAATATTTTTGAAATTACTGGAATAAAAAAAAACCTTAAATTTCTCTCTTCCACAAGAATAAATAAAAAAAAAAAACAAAGAAAGAACTGATTGAGACTTGGACTTGTGTGAATAAATTAAATTGCACAGCCGGACTTGTAAAGCCAAAGATGCTACAAATTGAATAGTTTTTGGCGTCTTAATCGTGGATGTGTGATACTAATTTCATGTGCATTTGGTTGGAATTTAAGGAAGCTGTTTCTGAGGAAATGCATATCAGTTTGCTGTATTGGTTTAGCTCTACGTGAAACTGTCACCCTGATGCATTTGATTAGCGCCAAATTCTGGGCTAAATCCACGCAATTTACCAATCGTCAAATTTAGTTTTTGCAGAGTAATTTAAGGCTTAAGGTGGTGCTCAA